CCCCCCCCCCCCCCGGCCCGGCCCGGCCCGGCCCCCCCCCCTCGCCCCGGCGTTGCACCGCCCGCCTGCGGCCGGCAGCAGGTAAGCGGGGGAGGGGGGATTCATGTGTCACAAGTCGGCGGGGCCGGCGCCGCGCAGGAACTTTCTTGCGGTTGCCGCCGGGAGGGAAGGAGCAGGGGCCGCGCAGCAGCGAGGACTTCCCTCGCCGGGAGCTCGCTGTTACATAAGCCGCGAGGGGCCAGGGGGGGGGCTTGTCCCTTCCCGCCTTGCTGCTTCTCCCGGGGAAACGCCGGAGCCGCGAAGAGAAAAGTTGGAGAACTTGGGATTGGGTCCCGGGGGCGGCGCGTGAATCACCCGCCCCGCGCCGGAGCCTGGCGGTGAATCATCGATGCCTGGCGCAAACAGCCGCATGCCGCGCCGGGGGGAGCGCAGCTTTGTTGTTGTGGCCGCGGCGGCGCCCGCGCGACCCCGCCGGGCTTCCCGGAGCCGTGACGGGGCTGCTGCGCGCGGAAAGTTTTGCGAGGCGAGGCTGTTTGTTTTCCTGGCACGGTGGGAAGGGACGGGGCTGAGCGGGAATCCCCCTCGCCTTCATGAGCGGACCCTGCGGCTTTCTTGCTCAGATGAGACCCCGAAGGATGAGGAGAAGGCCTTGCTATCTGGGGTATGTGGGTACAAATCTGGTTTTGAGCAGGACAGCAACAAAAATGCCATATTTACCTAAATCTAACCTGACACTGAATTTACAACAACCCCTTCTCCCCCCATAGTAGAGTCTATACCTAGAAAATTACTGTTATCATAAATTTGTCTCAAATTTGACCCTTTCTCTAATGTAGCAGGACACCCAGCAGTGTGTGTTTTGGGGGGAGGGGCAGGGTAAGGGCAAGTGCAAGTAGCCTGACCCTGACCTCCTGGCTTCCAGCATTTGCTCTTCCCTGGTGTCTGCCTCCATTCCCCACTCCTCCCTCAGCCATTTGATCCCCCACTGCCCCATGCTTCTGCACAGTGACCACCATAGAGGGTGTGGGGCCTGGGGCAAATCAGCCTGTGTGGGGCCCAGACATGGGGGGGGGGGAAGGGGTGGGGGTGGAAGGGTGGCAAGTGACTGGGTGTGAAGCCGGCCTGGCTCCGTGGGGCCTGGGGCAATTGCCCTGATTTGCCCCCACCTCCCCCACCAGGGACGGCCCTGCCTCTGCAACAGGTCCTGTGTTGCCCCATGTCTACCTGGGTAGATTCTTGCTGCCTCTTGCTGCAGATGTTGTATTTTCACTTGATACTCAATTCTAAAATAAGGCTTTGGTTTTCCTTTTGTTGAATGGGGAATCAAGTAAATATGGTTTATGTCCTAACACTCCAAGCTAGGGGCAGTCTCTGTCGAGTATGATTCTTTTTAATCTGTTCTTGGTAAACCAGAATAAATTCTCTCAGAGTAAAATTTAATATGCCCTATAACCCTGCATTTTGGGATACCGCTTGATAAATGTGCTACAGCTATACCCTTATAATAATAAGCTAATGCCTGTTCCTACTCCTCTTGATAATCATTCCACCCAGTGGGAGGAGGGCTGGACTTGGAACTTCTCAAACTTCTCTTTGGAATCCCACTTGCATCCCTTTCAGTCTTTTCCCTGACATGCCCGTCTCCTGCATGGGGAATGTAAAATAACATTAGCATCATGTATTTCTCTACAACAGTTCAATACAGTAAGCAGAAAGTTCTGAACGTATGCACGCACCTGCAATCCAAGAGCACATGTGTAGCGGGGTTATTTCATAGGTTCCCTTTAAATGCTGCTTTCTCCCTTGGCCAAACTATTTTCATCTCTAGTGGTATGAACTTTATGATTGTAGCTGTTCTCTAGATAGAAGTAAGGGAAGAAAAAATGTTCTTGATAGTATTGTTGGTAGTAATTTGTGCATTAGTGTTGGAGACAAAGGTCATGTCTTCATTTTTGTTGAATGCAGGGGTACTTCATAAATAACAATTCCGTAACTACTGACACATTGCAGCTGTTAAATGCAAAAAGATTAGTTTAGTTTAGTGTTTGCCTTGAAAATTTCAACACCTGAAAATTAGGAAGTTCAGAAGGTAGCAAAGTTGGGCTGCAGTCACAGGATAAAGTATGAAATAAGAGTTATACTTCTAAACAAATAACATTAATCAAAACTAGGTGTGCAGCATGGCTCAGTTAACATAGAACTGGGAGCTCTAATTTAAAATACTTTTTTTGTGCTTAAATAATCGACCTTAGTACAGCTTGAATGTCTTTTTGAAGAAATTATAATGAAAAAAGTAAAACAAAATAAGGTGAAAAGGAAAAAGCCTCACATTCAATGATGCCATGTACAGTTTTGCCCAGAAGTAGAACTGAGCTTAAATCAGTCAGGAAAATGGCAGAGTAGCAGTGTAAATGGGCTCCTCAGGTGCTCTTTCTACTCTGGTCCTTTGTGCTATTTTGATACCATGAGTTTCACAGTAAAATTGAAACATCCCAAGTTTCACTTTGCAGCCTGGAGATCATACAGAATAAAGTGAGGTGAAATGGATAGGTTTCAAGTAGTTCCAACACAGCACCCTCCTCAGGATTGCTAGGCAGATTACTGTGTGATCCCCAGCAAGACCCAAAGAACAATGGGATGTGAGAGAGAGTAGATATAAGTGAAGTGTCAAATGAACTTTGAATCCTGTTCCTTTTGTCTTATAGTGGGGTGTTTAGGCAGTCTTCTATGTGGTGTGTGTGTGTGTGTGTATATACCATACCTTAAAAAAAAACCAAACATGCTTTTTAAAGAAAGCGTGAATAAAATGTGAAGTATGAAATGAGGTAGGTATTATCTTGCTTATGAGTTATCAGATGTTGCTGCCTGCTTTGCAACATGTGACAGATGATTCTGTGACATGCAAGATAGATAGCAACAGCACTTTTGTGTAATTGTCTTCCAGCCACTTAAAACTGGATATGAGCAATCAGTCTCCCAGCTGAAAAAATAATGAGAAGCTTTCCTCGCTACACTTTCTGAGCTGGAGACGTGCAGTGGTCCAAAGCAGACTTCAGGGCACTGTTCTAGAAAACAGTGCTACCAGAGGCAAAACCAGGAAAAGATCATTGGTCAACTTCTCCACAAACAACTCCACACAATTCACATTAGTTTGATCGTTTGTCTGCAGACTCCGTGAATGGAGATACTTGTTGTGGTTCTTGCATGTTAGATGATGATTAATTATATATCTTACTAGCCACACATTTCAAACTACAGTGGGGCCAGAAAAGACCACTGTATGCAGCTTTCCCTTTAGCACTGTTCATTTCATCTTGCCTGTTAAAGTCTGATCTAACATGCTTCTAAATTTTGGCCATTTTCCGTGATGGTATATTCTAGTGATGCAGTACTTTTCCCTTATAGTGTTTCAGTGAATTTAGTATTGTGGAGAAAGCCAACTTGACAGCCATTGATTCTAAAGCCTTTGATCAACAGAGTGGGGGCAGCACAGAGAGCAGCCTCAATCATACCCTGGCAAAACTGCCTTTGGCAGGGAGAGTATTGGTTTTGTGTTTGTCTTTATGATAATTTACCATTTTAGTCCTCTCCCTGAGAACTGCTCAATAGGGAGCCAGTTATGGTGGGATATATATTTACACTTGTTTGTTAGTTACTCAACTATTCTCACGTACACTTTGTTACAAACAGAGATGCATTCAAATCACAGAGCCCCAGGGCCAAATTTTGCAGGCTTGCCATGGCCCTAGGGTCCAATTTTGTGGGCAGATTGTGGCCGCCCTCCTCAAGAAGGGTTGGGGCAGCTGGCAGATGCATGGGCTTCCCTTGCCCCCTGGCTCCACTTCCCACCAGGCCCTGGCCTGCATGGAGGGAGGGAGAAATTGGCCTCCCCTGGCCCTACGTGGGCTCAGGGATGTGCTGCTGCTGCTCCCTGGCCAGACTACACTATCTCATCTCAGCTGGGTTCCGCTCTCCTTGGCACTATCCCCCAGCCTCCACAGCACATGCTTATCATGGGATGAGCCCAGCTGGCCTGGGTGGCTGTGGCTGCCAAGAAGAAAAAAGAAGGGCCAGGCCTGTCCCTTTCTGCCTGGGCTGCAGGGCTGAGAGGCTGCATGAGGGCAGCCCTCACCCAATCAGTAGTCAGGGGCAGGGGTAGCAGCAATCTTGGCCTGAGTTTGCATTTTCTGCAAAAATCATGAAAAGGTGATTTCAGTACATCCCTACAAATAAAACACTGAACAGCTCTTATGTAGTAACAGTTTATGCTCACTACTGATTTGTGTAATATTTGATTTGCTAGCCTAAAGGTGAAATACCTCCAGAGCATTTTAATTTTGAATTCATCCAGCCCCTAAGAACTTTCCTGATAATCGGCCTGATTCCTCACACGATTGGACATTGGACATCAAAGACATTGATCCTGGTTCTGTTGTCACCTGAGACTGAATAATTCTCTTCCTCCTTAAAATCTCTACCTTAAATGTATTTGTAGACTTAAAGACCTTTTTATTAGTCAAAGGAATATGGAGCTGGAAAGGGCCTCCTGGACCATTGAATCTAGTGTCCTGCATTTGCAGACTGTCATTTAACTGATGGAATCTCCTGAATCACAACCTCCAACCCTCACCCACAACTACAAGGAACAGTATCCAAAATGCCAAGAACATGCCTGTATTACAGGTTTTAACCTGTTGACAAGGGCTATGCCAGCATCCTGCCATTGCAAGAGTGGGGAATAGTTAATATGCTCAGATCCTAAGAAAAGAATGAGGCTCCGTGCTTCAGCAGAAAGCACCCCCCCTGCAGTCAGTACCAGCCTGGTCTAAGAGGGAAAGTTCTTCCCCAGCTCCCACTTTGGTGATTAGTATAACCCTAACCAAAAGAGCAAGATCCGATTGCCTGGGGTTGGTTTTGTTCAGTGTCTTCGTCGGTGACCTGGAAGATGGCATACAGTGTACCCTCAGTAAGTTTGCAGATGATACCAAGCTGGGAGGGAGTAGTAGATACACTGGAGGGTAGAGTGAGGATTCAGAATGACTTAGACAAATTGGAGGATTGGGCCAAAAGAAATCTTATGAGATTCAGCAAGAACAAGTGCAAAGTCCTGCAATTAGGATAGAACTATCCCATGAAGTATATACTGGGGGCTGACTGGCTGGGCAGTGGCTGAGGGTTACAGTGGACAATAAGCTGAATATGATCAGGGCCAGACACAGGCATGGGCACACTGGGCAGCTGCTGGGGGCCTGAAAATGGTGAAAATAATAATAATTATTATTATTATCATTATCTCTGGCAACAAGGGGCCTGACACTCAAAGTTTACCCAGGGCTGCCAGGAGCCTAGGTACAGTGCTAAATGTGAGCCAGCAGTGTGCCCGTGTTGCCAAGAAGGCTAACGGCATACTGGGCTGCATTGGTAGGTGTTGCCAGCAGGTCAAGGGAAGTGATTATTCCCCTATATTCAGCACTGGTGAGGCCACATCTGGAGTACTGTGTTCAGGTTTGGGCCCCCCACTACAGAAAGGATATGGACAAATTGGAGAGAGTCCAGCGGAGGGCAACAAAAATGAGGGGGCTGGGGAACATGACCTGTGAGGAAAGACTGAGGGAACTGGGCTTATTTAGTCTAGAGAAGAGACTGAGAGGGGATGTGTTA